CGGGGGGGGAGGCCGCGGCTGCGCTGGCTCCTCTGGCCCCAGTGCCGGGGCCGAGATGCTCCAGGGCGGTGCTTTCCCGGGGCAGGGAGGGCATCCCCGGGCTGAGGGCCCTGCCAGCGTGCAGGGGCGAGGGCGGCTGCGTGGGCACCGCCTGCAAACCCTCACCACGGCGCAGGTCCGGCCCTGGCTGCCTCAGTGGCGCAGGGTTAATCCCGCAGCCTGGTCTCATCCCCGTCCTGGCAGAGAGGGGCTCCGCGAAAGCACAGGCAAGCCCCCAAACCCAAACAGAGAACTCCACGTACTTCCCTGGTCTGCGTCGTGGCCGAATGCCTGATATCCTCCTCCCGGCACCTGCTGTCGCGCAGCCGTGCGGATGGGGATGGGGGGTAAATGTTTGGGTTTCCCTCTTAAAACTGCAGATTGGGTGGAGGTGCGAGGGAAGGGGAGCCTGGGTCCCCTGCCCCGCTTCCTCTGCTGCTCTGCCGCTCTCCGCGTTAAGGCAGATCTTGCAGTTTCAACAGGAAAAAAACATGTTTTGATTAAAGCCGTGTGCAAAGTGCGCCGTGCTCCCCGTTCCCCGTGGTTTGCAGGGGTGCGTGGCTGCTCGGTTTGGGCACCGCGAACTTCGTGCCGCTGCTGGGGAAAAACCAGGGAGATTTCTGCCCAGCCGCGCCGGGCGGGCGAGGAGCGGGCTGTGCCCGCGGGGCTCCGTCGCTCATCGGGCAGCTGCTGGTTTTCCCCTGCCTTTGTGCGGAGGCGCAGCTGGATTCCGCGTGAACGGAGGGCAGGGAACGGCGCCTTCGTGCCTTGAACGCTGCGGTCTGAAGGTGCAAGCAGGGAAAACGGCAAAGCCTGTGCAATGTTTGCTCTTCTCACTTTATTTCAGCTTCACGAAAAGGTGGGTGGGCCAGCTTGAAACAACCCAAAAAACCTGTGGCACTTCGCAAAGCATATGCTTCCTTGGAGGAGAGCTGGGCTCATTTGCACTCCAGAATGCTGTGTTTGTTTTTCTAGCGAGGACACCGCCAGTCCTCACGGCTAACTCGTGCGGAGAGAAGTTTCAGTGTGCGGAAGTGTGTGAATTTTGGGAACTGAGTTAGAAAAACAAAGAACATATGTCTGCTGAGTGCTTGGCTTGGCAAAAAAGTGAACTCTGCTGCACTAAATGCAAGGAGCCAAAAGCCGAGCGGAGGACTGGAACCAAGGGCTGTGGCTGAGCAGGGCCCCAGCGCTGGCCGGCTTCCTCGGGCGGCGGCGGGAGAGCGGGGAGCGAAGCCGGCGGCGGGTGCCGGAGCTGGGGGGTGTTCACTTCTGTTAGGGCTGGCAACGCACCCGGGCAGCCAGCAACGTGGCTCCTGTCTTTCCGCAGCCGCTCTGGGAACGTTGGCCTGCGTGTCGGACCCGCTTTAGCCTTGCAGGCAGGGCTGTAAAGCGCCATTCCAGGCGTCAGCGGGGGCGCCCCGAAACAGAAAAGGCGTGAGGGTGGATGCCGGGGCTGCCGGGTGCGGGGGGCAGCGAGCGCGGGGCTGCAGGCAGGAAAGCTCGGCCGCTGGGAGAGGGCTGCCACGCGCCTTGGCTGGGGCGGCGGGGCGCAGCGCAGAGACGGCTGCGAACGATGCAAAATTCCCGAGCCTGCGCTCCAGGGGATGTCGCCGAGCCGCTGCTACGATAGCAGTCCAATAACGGCAAAATGAACAGTAAAAATCTGATGAATGATTTGTTCAAAAAATAAAGGCATGGTTAGTATGCTATAACAGCCCGTTCGTGCCGTCCATCTAGCAACAGCGCGGGCGGTACTGCCTCTCCGTATGCACACACAGCACCCTTGTAGCGGGTAACGGCACTGGGTTTTGCGCTGGCAGCCTCAGCAGTAAATAGATAAAGGACGTGAGATAAAGGGCAGAGGAAAATGTGCGACTAGAATTTACTGTATCACCAGCTGTTGGGTTCTTTGTGTGCGTTTCTGAGACCTGGTAATTATCCAGAATTACGTGCCTCCTCAAACGAGGGGGCTTGGCTGGGCGCGGGGAGGCAGCGGCACGCTCCAGCGCGGCGTGGCAGCACAGCCCCGCGCTACACAATGGCAGCGGCAGCTGCAGGCAAGGGAAATTAAACCCTCCGGTGTTCAGATAAAACACGTTCGCTTCAAAACGACAAGGCATGGAAGGGGAGGGAAGGACGTGAATTACCATGGGACGCAACTTGTTACGATGAATAAATCGGGTTCTGGAAACGTGCTCCCCGCGTTCATGGGGCCGAGCGCGGGGCTGGAGGCTGCTTCCTCTGCAGGCAGGAGGGGAGCAGCCGTGGGGCGAAGCGCCGCGGGGGCCAGCTCTGGCAGGCCGGTGGGCACTGCTGAGCCCGCTCCGCGTGTGCCGTTTCTGGGCACCTTCACAGCAGAAGCCGGGATGAGGGGCCGCAGCAGGATCTGGGGGACCCTGGTGCCGCGAGGAGCCGGCCTGGGGCAGCTCAGCTGCCCCCCCCTGTCGCTGGCGGGCGGGCAGGGAGGTTTTCCCTGCCG